TGGGTGATGACATGAAGCTCTTCCCAGCCCAGATGCCCGCCAGGGGCGCTGCCCTAAGTTGAATGACCCTCAGCAGAGCCATATGACCTGTCACTGTGACTTCAGCCACACCCACCAACCCACCCCACTCCCTCAGTGAAGACACACTCACTCTTCTTTGTGTGCCACTCATAGTGCGGCCTCAGGAGAATTTCTTAGCTGAAAGAGCATTTTTCTAAAAAGCATCAAGCTATTTGTAGCTGAGTAGGTTGGGTAGTTTGTGGGGTGTGTTTGGTTTTTTCTTCTCTTGCTTTGGCTAATTTTTTCACTCATTAACTTCTTCTCTGAAGAATTAAAAAAAAAAAAAAAACCACACACACACACAGAGCAATTCGTCCCCACACAGGAGTTGTGACTTATTTCTAGCTGTCTCCCTGCCAGCATTATCGTGCTGGCCCGGAAAAACAGAACACCCACTCCCAGGACCGTGGGGGCCTCTCCTGGAGTCGAGGAAAGACGCTGCGCCCCCGGCTGCCTGCCTTCCCTGGTTGGTGCCAGATGCTTCGTCAAGGGTTTACTCTTCTTTGACAGAAAGGAGTCTTGTTAAGGTTTCACGTGGGCTGTGACCATGTCCGGGCTGCAGAAAGTGAAAGGAGTTAGTCCTGGGTGCTTAAGTCGCCTCCAAGTGTCTTTGTGAGGCCCCTCCCTTCCGCCTGGCCGCCTGGGAGTTGCTGGCTGTCGTCCTCATGTCATTGTCTGTCTGTTTGTTTAGCAAAAGAGGTGGAAAAGGTTTATTAAGGTAATAAGGTAGACGCATGGCAAAAGAGTTAAAGTGAAAAAGAAAGAAAAGGGAAGTGGGGAAAGGACTCTCAAAAAGACAGGGCAAGGGGAGCTCTGGTGGCCTAGTGGCAAGGAGCTGCAACTACAATCCCTGAGGCTCACTGTTCGAATCCACCAGATGCTCTGCCGGGGAAGGAGGGGCAATCTCCTCCTGTACCAGTCAGATCTGATTTGACGGTACACGCACACAAAAAAA